TTGCTGCCAATATGACGTAATATCGGAAATGTGGGCTGGCTTTACACCCACGGCCCTATCAGAAACAATGTGCAACGTTTTGGAAGTAATATGGTCTTTGTTTACAAGAGCAAGCATCGCTAACACTCAGATCTAACCTGTACTGGAGAGAATATGTGTAAAAAAGCAGGATATAAAAAGGTATCCACATTGTGGTAAACCCACAAGAGAAAAAGCATTTGAGCTCCATACTGTTTCAGAAATATCGTTGATGTGGTTTTTAACATGATATGGCGTTTCATCACGGCAGCATTTAGCTGAGTATCTCGGTAGAATTCTGAGCAGGCATAATCTCCCCCCTTTTTCTTTTTTTTAAAGCTAAGGACCCAGATTCAGCACTTCTCCAACAGGGCTGAAGGGAATGAGGCATGGCTAGAATGGGTGATCTGTTTGGTATTTTGAGCAAAACACTCCATAGACATGTTTTTTTTATAAATGTTTATATATCTGAGACCTATAATATATGCCTAACAAATAGCAAGATAGGAGATCTTTAAAGGATCTGCTGCTAACGTCTTGGTGTCAGACACCACAGCACACCTTCAGAGGTCTTTGAGTCCATCAACTAGACCTCTCAGGGCTGTTTTGGCCGCCAAAGGGGGAACTACACAATATTAAGCAGGTGGTCATAATGTTATGGCTTATCAGTGTATGTAATGTAAGGTTTTGAGACATTAGAAAAATGTAGGTGGGACATGTATTACAATGGTGGTTTGCACGTAAAGGTGATTATTGATATTAAAAAATGTCTATATTGCACATTGCAGTTGTATTGCACAAGATGCACAGTCTGTACAGTGTGGGGGGTCGTGGTGGTTGTAAAGTCTGACTGCTGCAGGTATCTCTCCGTGAGACAGCGGGGGTGCAGCAGGCAGGCTGTCCTGGAGGGGGTGGGACACATTGTCCACAGGGAGGACAGCTTGGCTGCCATTCTTCTGTCTCCCACCACCTCCACAGTGTGCAGAGGACTCCCCAGGACAGAGCTGACCTTCTTTACCAGTCAATTAGTCTCTTCCTGTCATCAGCCGAGCTGTACTGCCCCAGCAGACCCCATCATAAAAGCAGCAGGTGCAGTCTGCTCTGACCCTTCTTGTACAGAGCAGCAGAGTGATCAGTCCAGTCCAGTTTATTGTTCAGATGAACACCCAGGCTTTTGGAAGATTTTACAATCTCAATGTCCGCTCCCTGGATATTCATTATCCGTAATAGCCCCTTACATTGAGATTTTGCAACAGGGGGCGTTGGAACCCAAATGCAGCACACAGGAAACCGGGAACAGTTCGTAATGAAGTTTGATTTAAAAACTCAGCTGGTACAGAGCAGGGCAGGTATTGAACACAGAAATACAAACATGTCCAAGCAGAACAAACCAGTAGGAAGCAGGCAGAGTTGGTCGGGGCTTGGCAGAGGAACAGGAAACAAAGGTAATTTGCAAATGCAAATCACACCAACAGGAACAAGAGACACTGAGGCAAATTGCAGGACCAGGGGCAGAAGGCAGGTAGGTTTTAACTTTTCTCATCATCAACATTATCATTTATTTCAGCTAAACTGACTACTTCCTCTTTTTTTTGCTTGCGATATTTGCATGAAACGTTACATTCATTTGAATAGCTGTTCCGCAATGAAGACTTACTTCATTTCAGAAATTGGGACAGAGACCAACTTTCCTGCATTATCAGCATAAAAACCTGGAAAGGTAAGACACCTGATATATATGCTTAATATCTATTATTATTATTATCAACAAGCTCTCACACGGAAATCCAGATCTGCCTTCTACAGAACAGCATCTGATGAGGTAAGACACATTTATGAAGATTGTTTGAAGATTCATTTTTAATGACAACATGAAACCCAATTTGAGAATTGTAAATAAAACTATTGAAATATGGATGTTGCAGCTGGTAACTTTTGATTTGAAATACTCGATCGTTGTCCAATGCAGTTATGATTGATCAAAATCACAACAAAACCTATTGAAACTTGAAATTATTTTTAAATAGTCATCAGTGTGGAAAGTAAAGGACTGCACTCATGAAACTGTGTCTCAATTTATTAAACAAATCCCTGAAAAGTATTTTGTGTCAAGTACAACAAAATGGAGAGCCAACATTTGTCAATGTCTCATATGCACTTTATTTCTTCACAAAAAGTTGACACCTTAGGGAATTCCGAAATCTTTCTTAAGGAAGTAATTTCAATTGATGACAAGAACATAACAGTATTACAAAAAGGGTCCTAATATAGTTGAATACACATTATCTGCATATTACACATGTAGGTACAGTAAACTGTATATATATATCTGTGTGTGTATATATATATATATATATATATATGTCTGTGTAACCAGAAACTCATTTATGCTAAAAATCTTGTTTTTACAAAATGGCATCGCCTTTTAATGTGGTTACAGGTGCACAAACAAATAAAACATACGGAGCACCGAAACATTTTTTGTTTTATTTTTGTACAGCATTTTGTGTTAAGTGACATCACCATTAGTATGACGCTGAGAGGCGACAGCGTTAAAGCTAACGTTTGGTTCTTACTTACCAAGTTAAGATATCTTTGCTAATACTATGCTGATGATGATTTCACAAAGCATTGTGCACCGCTGCTGCTGGCTATTGCGTGCCCATGGCTGGTGCGCCCTGGTGAACGTATCGTTCATCATAAAAGCACATCATGGTCATTTCCGATCATCTGGTGTGTGTTGAGTTAGGAGTGGTTATTCCGTAGAAGCCTATTTGCATTGTAATCAGATCTAATGAAGGTGAACAGTGCCAGACTGTGCGTAACCGGCACTGCTCTGTGCGCGCTCCTGCAGCACTGCTCTGTGCGCGCTCCTGCAGCACATCTACTCGTGTGTCATTCTTTCTTTGTAGAGGCTCTACATGCTGCAAGGATTTCATTAAGTGAAGGAGCTTATTATACTATAAAGCAGCTTCAGGCAGCAAATACTGTAAGAATCACGCACATAATGTCGTAAACCAATGCAGACTGGGTTACTGGCTATCCTGCTGGAATTAAGAGTGTTAATTAACCCTGATACTGACAGGCTGTCAGGAGAGGGAGAGAGAGAGAGGAAAAGAGATGCCTCGTTTATTTCCCCTGTGTTATCAGAAGTTTCTGTAAACTGTTGAATCATGTAGTTCATCTACTTTTAGTAGTTTGTTTAAATGTTTTAATTATGTTGTTTTTGTTTGTAGAAGTGCATCATTCCTTGATTTATTGTAAAATGAATCTGAACTTTTTGATCTGTTATGATGATAAACTGAAGCAATTTCTAAATTAACCCAATGAACTGAGTTTTAAATCGTCCTACTTAGTTTATAAGGAAATTATGAAGAGGAACAAATTAAATGATTTGAAAATGATATCTATGTAGGTGCTGACGCTGTTGGCGGTTCTAGTGTTAACAGACATGTAAATTAAATATGTGTAATGGCAAATGCCATATATGATTTTCTTACCTGGAATTCTGCCTTTTTGAACAGACTGACTGAGTCCTAGCTATATTGTCTGCAGTTCTAGGGTTAATATGAATCTAATATGATTGTCATCGGTTTAAATTAGATTTCAAATGATTAACTGTGTATGTAATGAAGATCATAGTGTGGGTTGAATCCATTTTCATAACCACTGTCTTTTAACTGATTTAAATGCGGAAACTGGGCTTATTCATCAACATTTTGTATGACTTGACTTGACTTGACTTGACCTGAGCAATGACTTGACTTGACTTGACTTGACCTGAGCAATGACTTGACTTGACTCACTTGACTCTCACCACAGTGACTTGGGACTTGCTTGATACTTGTAGGTCAAGACTTGAGACTTGCTCATGACTTGCACATGTAGGACTTACTAAGAATAGATGCTATAGTGGTTGGATGAGGGAAGTGTGTACAGTAGCTTCACGGGAAAAGTGGCAATGTTAAGCATATTACAAACAGACAGATGAGTGTGTGGTTTTGCACGAATGTCCCACAATGTAATCATCAAAGTGTTCTCAAAGCTGGTAAAGGTGCAGCTAGTTTGAATGACTTTGTATACTGCAGGGTAGCTTGTGAATTTACTCCAGGTGGAACTAAAGTCTGATTTAACACTTGATTATATTTCACATCATTCATCCACATCTGTAAAGTAACTAAAGGTATTAAATACATGTAGTGGAGGAAAAGTACACCATTTACCTCTGAACTAGTGGAGTAGAAATGAAGCTCAGCGTAAGTTCAATCAGGAAGACCAAGCTCTTCATTCAGATTACACTCTCCTTCCTCATTAAGTGATCGGGGGCGTCTCTCCCCAGCTAACCAATCTCTCCTCTCTCCATTCTCACAAGCCTATCATAGCTCCCGCTAATCCCTTTATATCTGCTCTTCCCTCTGTCAGCTGTCATTTCAGGTGACAAAACGCAACCCTCCTCCACCCCTTTCGCCTCCCGTCTCCTTCAGGACCAAGCTAAACCTTCTCCCTTCAGTCCGTTCCCACCTACTTATCACCACCATCAGTGTCTAGACCCCGGGGGGTTTCATCGGAGCGGTTCTTCCCCCTGCTGAATGATTATCCTGCAAACTGGGGCCTAATCGCCAAACACCATTCCATTCTCCTGTTATAATTGTGGCAATCATTATTACATTCATATTATGTGTCCCGGTAATAAATATGTATTCCATACATCAACGTCTCTCCTGATTGAAGTACAAAGTAGCATAACATGGAGATACTTGAGTGAAGACAAGTACCTCCAAATTGTAATTAAATACAGTACTTGAGTAAATCTACTTAGTTACTTCCAACCTCTGCTTGTTTTGGGGCCGTTTTTAAATCCTGGACAAATGGAGAGTAAGTGAGAAGATGTTATTATGTTATTTAGTTATTTAGCCTAAGCTTTATGGAGCTAAATAAGTGTCTGATTGAGAGGAAGCTGCTTTATATTCTCTCTGTATCAGACGTGGGACGAGGGTCTTGCCATCACTGCAGCAGCGTGGGCGAGGAACTGTTTGTTTGTACACAACGTACACCTCGAAGATGTCCGCCGTGTGCATCCTACCTTCTCCTCTGTGGGAGAAAACCTCTGGGCTGGATCCCCAGCGTCACATTTCAACGTGACGACAGCGATCAAAAGTTGGGTGGATGAAGTACACAAATACGACTTCGACCAAAACAGATGCTCAGGCGTCTGTGGCCACTACACACAGGCATATTCAATATATACATATATATATATATATTAGGGCTGTCAGTCGATTAAAATAGTTAATCGCGATTAATCGCAAATTAATCGCACATTTTTTATCTGTTCTAAATGTACCTTAGAGCAGTGGCGAGCCGTTAGGGCCCTCTAGGCCCTCTGTGAGGGCCTAAGATATTCCAAAAAATAATATTTAAAAACATTAAAAATATATATATTTTTTTTAAATATATATTTTTTTAATATTATTTTTGTTATATTTTTCATTAGTTTTACCGAAAAAAAACTTGATTTAATAAAATAACATTTCCAAAGAAATAAATCCTTCGAATCTGCCTGTTCAGTCTCTGTTTGAATGTCAGTTACTATAGCGGGCCTCTCTGCGATTCACAGAGGGCCCGCTATAGTAACTGAACGAGAGAGTAATGTCAAATGACAGTACAATTGACCAATCATATCTTCCCTCTAAATGGGTGGGTTTTATTATCGCGGACTTTATGACGAGTTCCGCCCGCTGTGAAACTGTTCTTGTTTCCATAGCAACAACAACTTCCTGTCAACAGCGTGAACTCGCCTTCAAAATAAAAGCATGCCAAATTACACTTAAGACATACAACTGCAATGAAAGTAACAAACACAATGCAATATCATTTTCAATGTCAAAGAACACAAATTGGGTTCACAGGTGTTGTTTTGTGTGGTAGAGGGTCGCTGTCATTGATGCGTTTTGCACCCTGGGCCGTTGTTTTGATATTCCGCTGAAGTATACGCTGTGACGTAATAATGTCTTTTTTTCGAAGGAAGGGGTGGGGGTCAGAGGGCCTAGGTATAAAGCTCACGGCTCGCCACTGCCTTAGAGGGATATCTTTCAAGTTTTTAATACTCTTATCAACATATGAGTGGACAAATATGCTTTATATATTTGTTTATTATCATTTGAACAATGACAAATATTCTCATGAATATTAAACACAACAACCTGAACATTACAAATATTCGCCTCAATTCAACCTGGAACCTCTCTCATACAATAATACTCTGTGTGTGTGTGTGTGTGTGTGTGTGTGTGTGTGTGTGTGTGTGTGTGTGTGTGTGTGTGTGTGTGTGTGTGTGTGTGTGTGTGTGTGTGTGTGTGTGTGTGTGTGTGGACACTGTGATGGATCGTTGGAGCTATGTGCAGTAGAGATGGCAAATCCGGATCATTTTACGGACTCAGGGTCTTCTGAGTCAGTCATTGAAGAGATCCGGATCATACGAGTCATTTGAGTCATATGAGTCAGCATGACCAAGACCGTAGAAATCCTATTGGTGAAACCGAAAAGTTGTTGCATTTCACGAGCATATTATTATTCCATATATTTTGAATATACATATATATATTTGTATATATATATATATAATATCTGCATGTATATTTTCTATTTCGACATGTATATTTTATATTTTATTTTATTTTTATTTCTATTCTTGCATATTTTGTAGTTTTGTTTTATTGTAAAATGCCTTATGCTGCTGTAACAACAACAATTTCCCAATTTGGGATCAATAAAGTACTATCTATCTATCTATCTATTAAACTGACGTTATATTAACCTCCGCTACACAGTGTATTTTGCTTTAATAAAAAATGTTGATCACAAAAAAAAGGGTTATTTTGCGATTTGGCAAATCTGAGTCTGCGAGTCTGCTCTGCTGTGTGTTGCACACACAGTGAGTCAGGATTTGCGAATCCGAGTCTGCTGTGGACTCGTGCATGAGGACGAGTCTGCTGGATCTCTGGATCTGCTGCTATATGGTTACGGCTCCGAGTCCGCACGAGTCTGATCCGCTGTGTGTTGCAGCGAGTCAGGATTTGCGAATCTGCGAATCTGCGAGTCTGCTGTTGGAGCCGTCGGCTCCTCTGAGTCCCCACGAGTCTGCAGGAAGTTCCACTGATCTGCGTCCCCTCCCCTGAGCCAAACGATCACTTCTGGCAGCTATCCTGTATACTTGCTAAAGGGTAGGTAGATGGACTTGGGGTACGTTGTAATGTGATTTTACATGTTATAAAGAGAGTAGCGAGTGACGCACTTTATAGTTTTAATTTGTACGTCACACCAAGTGTGGGACTCAAGGACTCGGGTTAATGGAGAGGGGAGACTCGTCATGACCAGCTCATTTCTAGGATCCGGGTTAATGATCCGGATGAATCAGGACTCGCCCATCTCTAATGTGCAGCTCAAGGCATATATGCTCGAACGTGTGCTGCCTGGACGCTGCAATCATGTTGCGCGCACTATCCGTGCTGAGTGTGCTGACTTTTCGTACAATGTCCCACTGTCTGGCTACCTGCATAAAGTCAAGTGCTCGGCGCAGTTGTCGGCGAAATGTCATTGAAACAGCTCCTTATATCCGTTAGCGCAGCTAGCTAGCACCAGATGCTAACAACAACAACACGTAAGGTGTGCCTCGCTCGCGCGAGTCGCGCCACACATACACACTCCCTCCCGGTCCTCCCGATGGCCAGTCCGGGCCTGCCAGTGAGCGTGGAAGTGTGGTCTGCCACAAGCGGGCAGCAGGAGCGGGGCTGTCAGCATCAGCTTGTCGATGGTATTTTACACTCGATGCGCTCTGAAACTACGGCGGCCGAGGACAAAAAATACACATGCGTTAATCGCGTTAAAATAATTAGTGGCGTTAATTTTTTTTTGCGTTAACGCGTTATTAACGCGTTAACTTGACAGCCCTAATATATATATATATATATATATATATATATATATATATATATACAGTGGTGTAATGTACTGTACCTAAATAAAACATGTAGGTACTTTGTTACTTTATATTACATATTTAGGTACTAGTTACTTTGTAGATGTAGGTAATAATAGAAAATATAAATCCACATTATTATAGGCTACCCAGTAGTGTGTAAAGTAATTCAAATAAACCCCACCTTTACTAAGTGCAACATTTAAGGGAAGAACAAATGAATGCACAAATAATTTGTATAAAATCAATCAAATAATTAAAAGATAACTAGTGCTTAAAATAGACCAATCTGCACAATGACTACTTTTACTTTTGGTACTTTAAGTATATTTTGATGTGAATACTTTTGTACTTTTACTTAAGTAACATTTTGAAGACAGTACTTTTATTTATAACATAGTATTCCACTCTGGTACTTCTACTTTTACTCAAGTACAAGATCTGAGTACTTCTACTTTTACTCAAGTACAATATCTGAGTACTTCTCCCACCTCTACTGGCTGCTATCTCTTATTTAGACTATTCAAATACTGTAACACAATCTTTAAAAACTGTGCAATATATACTTTTATTTTCACTGTCCGGCTGCTATCACACTATTTCTACATGCTACACTTATTTTAATAATATTGCTACTTCACCTTCTCCCATATTTGATGCATGCCTCTCTAACAAATACATGTCCCCTCTTTAGGACTAAGGAAGTATTCTGATGTGCACACTTCTGTAGAAACAAAGATCGTTCCTTTTGGGGAAATGTTTTTCAAGAGATCGCATGAGGCAACAAGCAAAGAGGAACTGGTTGTGATGTTTTTATATTTAGTCACACATTTTAACCCTTTGCTCGGAAGTCCTTCAGGTTGTGTGGGCGAGCAGCTACAAGGTTGGCTGTGCCGTGCAGCTGTGCCCGAACGGAGTCGAACGCACAAGCTTTGCTTCTAGAGAGGGGGCTATCTTTGTGTGCAACTATGCTACTAGGTAAGTACAACAGAAAAACAGTTGAAGTCACTCCAACAGTGATATTTATAAAGAAAACATATTTAAAAAGGCCCTTTCCTGTAGTGTGTTCTATAGGTTTGTGCGCATGCAGATGGTCTGCTAAGGCTAAAATCCCACATTTCTGGAACATAGCAACATCACTATGTAACACTCGTGCTTCAACACATTGTGCGTGATAGGCTAAGGGGCGGGACTTCTCTAAGAGGTTGACCAATCACAACAGAGCCGGCCAGCTAACCAATCAGAGCAGACGGGGCTCTGGTTTCTGACAGAGGGTGAAAAGAGGTGCTGCAGAACAGACAGTATGAGAAAGATAAAGAGCTTTTTGAACATTAAAGCATGGAGACATGTCCCAGTAGAGACACTACATACTGATATACACCTGAACATCAGCAGGAGAGGACTCTTTAAATTAGAGACACTACATACTGATATACACCTGAACATCAGCAGGAGAGGACTCTTTAAAGTAGAGACACTACATACTGATATACACCTGAACATCAGCAGGAGAGGACTCTTTAAAGTAGAGACACTACATACTGATATACACCTGAACATCAGCAGGAGAGGACTCTTTAAAGTAGAGACACTACATACTGATATACACCTGAACATCAGCAGGAGAGGACTCTTTAAAGTAGAGACACTACATACTGATATACACCTGAACATCAGCAGGAGAGGACTCTTTAAAGTAGAGACACTACATACTGATATACACCTGAACATCAGCAGGAGAGGACTCTTTAAAGTAGAGACACTACATACTGATATACACCTGAACATCAGCAGGAGAGGACTCTTTAAAGTAGAGACACTACATACTGATATACACCTGAACATCAGCAGGAGAGGACTCTTTAAAGTAGAGACACTACATACTGATATACACCTGAACATCAGCAGGAGAGGACTCTTTAAAGTAGAGACACTACATACTGATATTATATACACCTGAAAAGGAGCAGGAGAGGACTCTTTAAGTAAAAAGGGAGACTGAGCTTGAGATAGTGATGGAGTCATGAGAGAAAGTTGGGATGGTCGTTACTTTCAAAATGCACTTGTGGTCAGAAAGAGAGTCATGTGATACGTTTCTCATTATTGAACAATAACCCAGTAAATCCACAACATACATTACAGTGTATGATCATTTCACGCTCAATGGTTGCCCCTTTTTTTCTTTTGATGTTGTTGTTTTCCCAGTAGACTTGTGTAGTAAGTATAGATGTTATAGTGGTTGGATGGGGGAAGTGTGTACAGAAGCAACATGGGAAAGTGGCAATGTTAAGCATATTAAAAACAGACAGACGAGTGTGTGGTTTTGCACTAATGTCCCAATGAATCACGGACATTAAAAAACAAAAATGTAATACATTTCAAATAGAGGTTAGGCCACTACCCACAGAACGAGCAGTTTGACAACCCCAGCAACATTACCATATCTAAAACGGGAGAATAAAATGATGGCAAAGTGAAAAACAAAAAGCAGATTTTCTTGTCGGCCTGGATTATTAAACACTCAGGTGTGTTCGGACTCACTTCCAGAAAACCCTTCAAAGAGGTTTGTTATTGAATGTTTGGAGGAACACAACAGGGCGCGGTCATCCATCAATCCACCTGCACGTGACATGCGGTTCATGGTAGGCATCATTGGTATTTAATCATCATCTTTCTCACACGGATGACTAACTGACAGACGTGCAGTGATTAAATGAATTCATCGACACCTGTTATGACCTGGCTCAAAAGGCCACAACAAAGAGGAGACACACCATATCAACGGTTTAACAAAATATGTTCATTAAAGCAAGTGGTTCAAATTAGCCAAATGAATTAAGTGCAAAACAAGTAAAGCATGAGGTGTGGATGTCAGTGATATCAGTAGTGTAAATGCAGGGTGAGGCTTGCATGGACATGTATGAGTGTGAGAGTGTTGCAAGTGCACAAAGTATAGCAACTGAAGAAACTCATAGCATACTCAACCGAAACCAGGTGCCTGTAGGGGAGAGCAGAGGGAAGACAGAGGCCGTTTCTCAATCGCGAGGATGCTGGCTTGGTAGCACAGCCGAGCCGAGCATCTTGCTTCAGAAGCAAGGCAAGAATACTTCCTGGCATTCGGAAAACAAAGAGTGGAACAGGCTAGCAAGTGTGCAGGTGTGCGTCATATGAGAGGCCCCGCATTACATCTTCCGCCACAGATTTGGGGAAATTGGTCCATGCGCAAAGCATTGTGGGGATTTTAACACTAGAACCGCCAGAGATTTTTTATACCTAAAACCGCCACCTGGGTCAAATTGACCCGCTATTAGAATGCATTGATTTTCAAGGTAAAATGTTCTTTTATTGAACAGAGAGTTTTGATCGCACAGGGATGAAACGTATACCAATATAATCTGTGGACTCTCAGGGCTCGACATTATAAATGGCCCGCTGGGCCGGAAGCATTATTTAGACACCGCGGCCAGCATAACGTACTTTCAACTCGCCCCACAGCTGTTTGCTGCGGAGCGCAGTGCGAGCAGTCTCCCGTGAGCGGGAGCACACTCCTTCACTACAGACTCTCTCTCTCTCTCTCTCTCTCTCTCTCTCTCTCTCTCTCTCTCTATCTCTCTCTTCTCTCTCTCTCTCTCTCTCTCTCTCTCTCTCTCTATCTCTCTCTCTCTCTCTCTCTCTCTCTCTCTCTCTCTCTCTCTCTCTCTCTCTCTCTCTCAATCTATCTATCCATCTATCTCTCTCTCTCTCAATCTATCTCTCAATCTATAAGGAGGAACCGCAGTAGACAAAAGGCGTTGCTATAGCAACACGTCATGTTTATATGAAAAGGGGTGGGGTCAATATGACCCGCTTGGCGGAAATAGGTATAAATGGCAATTTTTTGGGTGATTTCTTCAATCTGACTTCATATTGACAATGTTTAACAACAGAGGGTGGTACATAACACACTTTCAGGAAAAGTCACGGACTGGGAGACTTTAATATTTTATTGAAAAAAAGTTACATCAAATATAAAACAGCTCGGGGTCAAATTGACCCCGTTGGTGGTTCTAGTGTTAAGGACGCAAAGTCTACCCATGTGCAGCCTCGAAATTTCCCCCAAACCAAGGACGCGGCCTCGGTGGAATTCCAAGTATGCTGGAGATTGGAACAGTCCTTTGGCTGTTTTGGTAGCCTTACTGACTGATCTCTACTTGTGTTCATTGGACACTGGATATTAAGCATATCAAGTGTCTTACCTTACAGTACCTAACTAGTTATCCCTGTTGTAAGGCCCTAGCCAGCATGTTGATGTTTTTGTTATCATTCCTGTTTCTATTTTTGTTTCTCTCATTTCAGTTTCAGCTTTCTTGCACTTGATTGAACTCCACCTGCTTTTCATCCTCAGCTGTGCCCCATTATCATCTCTCCCCCTGTCTATTTAGTCTGCGTCCACATTCCCCTCAGAGCCAGTTCGTCTTTGGTATTCCTAGCGTTCCAGCAGTGTTTATTCCAAGTATCTCAATTCCACGTGTACCTGACCCAGCTTCGTGTCCTGACCCTGTTCCTGCCTAATCCTCGTCTGTTTTGGTAGCCTTACTGACTGTAGCAAGATGCTACATCTGAGGTATCCTAATGTCATTCATGGTACAATCTAATTTGAAATGGAGTTGTTTATGGCGCAGAGAACAGCAATGGCCTTCATTGTTTAAGCTATGAAAGGTGCTTCCACCTATTTCACAATTAGACAGTTTACACATCCAAAAAACAAACAAAGAAGCAGGAGGCAGAAAGCAGAGTTTATTCAGAGGTCACCCTCCTGTTGCAGGATAAAGTAAAAAAAGATAATTCCGTAATTCAATACTCACACAGATAAACACAATTCTAAATATACATACACATGTACATACATACACCCATTTGCAGGGTGAAAATAAAATAATGAATTAAACAAAAAATTCCTACAAGTCCATGTTCAGATAACAAGACAGTTTCATTTCTCATCCTATTTTTACGTAAACTGATAATTAAGATAATCATGATAATAGTCATTGTTATAGTATTTATAATTATAATTAATATTATTATCACTATTTCCATTATCATATAATCATATCAACTTTTTTTTGTCTATTTGTAAGTTAATCCAATGACCGGATAAGGATAAAAACAAGTGAGGGTTTGACAGAGAGAAAGGATGTCTGTCATCTGATACTGGTGCATTGCTGCAACTTATAATGCATCCTTTGTTTGGGCCATAGCCAGCACATGGTTTTACGGAAGCATAAAGCAAACAACTCCTGATCCAACTCAGAGAAGCACATTCAAACCTGCCTCTTGATGATTCATTATATTCCATCATGACTTTTTTTTAAATAAATAAGGGAAGGGAACTGTAGCTTATTATTCCATTTGTCTATTTATTGTGTAAAGCAAGAATTTGCTTAATGCAGTTTTGTTTTTTTATAAAAGAAAGTGTCCCCACCACTTTTTCGAACAAAGTGTCATAACATTTAAATTAAAAGCCACGCCTTGATGCTTTGTGAAACTGTGCACAAAAGGCCAGGGTGTGTTTTGGCATCATGGGTAACATCAACATGAAAGTCATGGACATTTCCCCCACCTTGGTGAACAGAATGTTCTGGTTTTAGTTGTTGTGACGTGCCCCTATCCTGTTCTTTTCTCTTGTCCTTTGTCTGACTGCAGATAATCAAAGGCGAGAATTTAGTTCTCGTCAAACAGTTATCATCAAATATGTATTGAAATGCTAAAGCTGCCGTGATGTGGAAAAAAGCAGACAAACAGGTGAATGTTGCTCAGTGTTGCGGTAATCCATTCTCTCGCAATTTTATTATATGGTTATATGCTATGACTCAAAGAAGTCTATAATATCAATAACAATCTGTAGACTCATATATATACTCTGGGAGAACTGGTTTTATGGGGAGCCCAGTCTCCATTTGAAGTTTCTATTTCCTTGTACATTGAGAAGAGACACTGGGCATGTTTCTATAATATCACTGTGGTGGAAATTCCACACTTAATCACCTTTTGGTAAGAAATGAACAAATCTACAAGTTCAAACCAAGGTTGTGTTATTTAATGAAAAGATAAAGCATTTAACAGAATCTATTTCCAGCTTGAAGGACAGATAACCCTGCACCAATGTGTGCTACAGAGATCTGAACAGAAAAGCAAGCACTTTATTCTGGAAAAGAGGAAAAGGGAAGGTCTCAGCCAATCAATTTACATTAGAGGCTATTGAAATGTTGGCCAGATGAGAAAAGTACAATTACAAACCTAACATCAATATGATAACTTGATAACAATGGTCAACAGCTAAACAGTCTAAATTGACTCGTGATATATTTCTACAATAATAACAATCAAATGCTTTTTTTCACTGGCGTCAGAAATTCCTCCTTGAATGACCCTGACACACCACAGTTCAGGAACTTTTAACTTTTAAATTGATTACCTGTGTCTTTGGTCATGGTCTATATTTTGTCTCTCTACAGATGGCTGTTGGTAACAGAGGAACTCTTCAGACTGCATTTATTGGGTGTGTGTAGGTGGCCTGTGTATTATTATCATACACATATTATGAATATCATCATCATACAACCCATAATGTTCTAAAAGGAGTCTTCAAACAACGTAGTCCAATGCCTCCACAAACAAAGAGGTAAAGTGTGTGTGTGTGTGTGTGTGCACTGAAAAAAAAGTGGAGTGACATTTACTTAGAAAAACCTCTGTAACAATATTCCACGCAGAAATTGTAAGTAAATTTAACAACCTATATTTCAAGTAAATTCTACTTACAGTTCAGAAGTGTTTCTAACAACAGGTACACAAGTAAACTTTACTGTGCTTTCTGTTTTTGTTATTTAAGTGTACTCACTATTGCATAGTATTTTTTACTTAAATATATAAGTAATATTTACATAATATTTCTTCTTCTATTTAATTTTACTCACTATTGCATAGTATTTTTTACTTAAATATATAAGTAATATTTACATAATATTTCGTCTTCTATTTAAGTGTACTCACTATTGCATAGTATTTTTTACTTAAATATATAAGTAATATTTACATAATATTTCGTCTTCTATTTAAGTGTACTCACTATTGCATAGTATTTTTTACTTAAATATATAAGTAATATTTACATAATATGTATTCTACCTTTAACAGCAATACCCTGTTAAATATGGGCATACAAAACATGAAACAATGTACTCTTTAAAACAGCAACTTTATGTTTTGAAACACTGGTACCAGCCAGGACTAAGCAACAGTTTACAATGGTTTAAACATATGCAATCTGGTGCACACAGCACCTACATCGGTGCAGCTAAACAGAATGGTTAGAACACTTTTTACCGATAGTCTCAGTGAAGATGAAACATTCTTAAAACAACATTCTCTGGCTGATCCTGAGGACAGAATTCACAGTGATCTATTTCAGTACATCTCAGATAAAATGTCCAATGACATTTACAAAAGTGTCATTTTTATGGAATAGGATTAGGGCCATGCTCAAAACATTAATTATTTTAGTTTTCAAGTCAGAATTCCGACTTAAAAAAAATAAATCACATGTGGCCCTGATCATATTCAGCACATCTATACAGTACAATGACTTTGCAAGAAAACTAAGTGCAATCACTCATCCCTGACATCCCTTGCTTTTAGTGTTATAGACAGGGGTGCACATAACTGGTACGCAGGTACGCATGCGCGGCAACAATCTGAAATGCGTACCGTCACATGTGTCACAAAGCGCATTTGCGTACCGACGTACATGTGAAGCTTTTCCAGAAGGCGGTTAGATCACCGTGTCTCCGTGTGCACAGACAGGGCTGCTGTTAACGTCGGTCTGTACAGCAGCCCTGCGCTAAAACAGCTGATCACAACGTGCACACTCTGTAGCTCCGAAGCTCTGTACTCCACTACCCCCCCCCCCCCCGTTGACAATCGCCAGAAGTTGGAGTACCAAACACTGACTCCAGGTACTCATCTGAGTACCTCACTGAGAAAGTTGTGTGCACCCCTGGTTATAGAGAATAATTACACAATATGAAGTTGTACAGTGGCCCTGAGAATTCAACGCACTC